CGGCGACTACTTTCTGCAGCGACGCCTCCCCCTACGGCATCGGGGTCTGCCGCAAGACCGCCGACCAGGAGGTCGTCGCGGCCGCTGGGCGCCTGTCTGAGAGATGGCGCTATCGGTTCTCCGACGCCGTGCACGCCCGCGCCCGCGCTCTCGGAATCGAGCTTCGCAGCGTGCTTGAAGCTACCGTGGACAAAAATTGCCTCGAAGAGCGCCGCCGCAGTCCGAGGCCTCCTAAGACCCCTGAGGGCCCTCCGTCTACGCCATCATCGTTACATCAACCAGCTGACGCTGCCTCCCTCGACGGCTTCGACGAAGTTCCCGACTCGATCACGGCTTTCGGCTGGGCCACGATGCACAGTTCGCGTCACTCGAGGTTCGGCTTGGACATTATGCGATACGAGGCGGAGGCTCTCAGGTTTGCGATGCGACACTCGGCTCGGGCTGGACGGCTTCGTCATCATCGCATCTTGTTCACCGTTGACAATTTGGCTCTAGCTCTTGCCGCTGGCAAGGGCCGTTCTGGCGCCCGAGGCCTTCGCGACCCTCTACGCCGTCTATGCGCCCTGTCGGCGGCCACGGGCATCCGCCACGCCATTCGGTGGATCCCCAGCGAGAGCAATGCCGCCGACTCGCCGTCCAGGACGGGCTTCTTCGTCGGGCCGACCTTCGAGGAGCACCAAGCGAATGCCCCCCGAACTTCGACGGCAGCGGACCACGACGCTGGCGGAGCAGAGGACCAAGACCCATCCTGGGCCAGTGCTGCTCGCCCGAGGGGCCCTGTCGGTGCTGGAGACGGCCGCCGTGTCGGACACGACCATGGCCAACTACTGGGGCGCCGCCAAGAAGTTCGAGGAGTGGTGCCGCTGGACGTCCCAGACGTTCACCACGGCAGAGGAGGTCGATGTCATCCTAGTTACCTATTTCGTGAACCTCTTTCTGGGCGGCTTCGACAGTGCCACGGGCCGTGTACTCATGGCCGCTCTGAAGCACTACCTGCCCGCGATCCTCGCTGGCAGGACTCCGTGCCCACGGGCGGCTCGCGCCTTGACAGGCTGGCGGAAGCTCGTTCCCCCTCAGATGCGGCTGCCTCTTCCTCGAGCGGCGATGGCGTCCATCGTGGGTGTCCTGATAGCGTGGAAGCTCTTCGGCATGGCTGTGTTCCTCAGGCTGATGTTCGACACATACCTGAGGCCCAGCGAGGCATGCCGCCTCACGGCGGGGAGCGTGATACGACCTCGACCCGACGGCGTCCTGGGGTACGGCCACTGGGCCCTGATCGTCAACGACGCCTGCCTCGGCCGCCCTGGCAAGACAGGCGAGATGGACGAGAGCGTGATCGTCGACAACCCAACCATCTGGCCGCTCCTGGAGGCCCTGGTTCACGACAAGGGCCCGACCGACGGCCTGTGGACCTTCGCCCCCGACGAGGTGCGGAGTATGTTCCGTCGAGCGGCAGCTGCCCTCGGTCTGGAGACCGAGTTGACTCTCTACTCGCTTCGTCATGGGGGTGCGTCCGGCGACCTGCTGTCGCTCAGGCGCACGAGGAAGGAGGTCGAGGACCGCGGCCGCTGGAGGACGGACCAGAGCCTCCTCCGCTACGCGAAGCGGGCCCGC